AAAAAGGCCAAAGAAACAAGTGGTGAAGAAACACAGTAGAAACCCAGGATTTTTATCCTTGGGAGTGTGAAAAGGTCCAAAAAACAAGATTTACTCCGTGGGAAACTGAAACTTTTTTTAACATCTATTTCAGGGTCACAGACCAAACACGCATATTTCGTAGGCTTTCATAGACAAACACTTTAAAAAAGATACTGAAAACAAATGGAATTGACTCATACATTATAGGTGCTACATCCAAACGTGGGAGTTTATATAGCAAAATTAGTCACAGGGCTAACAGAGTTAACACGAGGCGCAACCAGAAGGTTGGCACTCACACTTCTGCAACAACACACATCTTTACATAGACGACATTTGTTTGTTGCCGTTTTAACGCTTGGAATAAAGAATTAGCACTTTTATGTAAACATTGCAGAGAAAATAAAATGTTTGTAACGAGTCACGAACCCGGTGCACTACACACTGCGGCCCACCCCAGGGAATCTGCACCCACTTTAGGTGACTGGCCCGTGGAGAACGAGGCCCAAGCTCCACACGTGAACCCAGCTCTCACTTTGAGGAAGGAAAGCGGGGGGGGGGGTGGATGGGGAGGGGACAGGCATCGTTTTGAACGTAGCTTTTAAACATGCAACACAACTGAAATGATTCATGCCGGTTATGTGCCTTTTTCTGCATTGCATTGTAACACTGCTGACACCAGAGCTCTTAAAAGCTTTCCACTTTCTTTCTGCATAAATTGTGCATATGCATGATGCAGCGCCTGGGACTGAATTAACAAGCTTTTTTTTTTTTTTTTCATGACCCATTTAATTTTGTGATGGGCTGGCGTGACATATTTTCACAGCACATGCATGATGCATTGACAGTAGTGGAGTACACACACTCATGCACGCCACATGATAGGCATGTTAATGCACGGAGGCACAGATGTGGCGCACACAGACTCTAAAAGCTTTCTGCTACATCCGCGCCGGCACCGTCAGCATGACTAAGTGTGCTCCATCTCAACACTGCTCTCCGGATGGGGCAATGATTTAACCCTGGCGTCTCACAGTCAGCTCCACCAATCACTCCATATATATATATAATATATGTCAGAGGTAATAGCATCCGACACCACGCACAATGCATACCTAAATGTCTGCGCAACCACAGGCGCACCTGTAGGTACAGCTCACAGGTACACGCGTTTGAAGGCAATCATATACCCTCAAACACACAAAAGCAGGTCTCTGAGGTCTGCGAGGCTCCCTCTCACAAGCAATATCATGCTGCAGCAGCCTTTGTGGGTTTGTGGGCGACCGCAGGCGGAGAGGAGTGATGTTAGCGGAGCAGCTAAAACAAGGCAGCTCGCCCCGGGGCCAAATACAGGGGAGGAGAGAGGCAGAGTGACAGAAAGCAGCTGTGAAGGATGATCTTTGTGTGGCTGCATGCAAAACAGAGAAAGGGAGAGAGGTTTTGCCACAGGGAGGCCGCAGAAAGCCTGCAGGGCGAGTCTGTGATTGAGCCGGTGTGCACGAAGAAATCAGCTTGGCTGAGAACTGGACGCCTCCTAAAATCAATGGTCAGCGTTTGGCTTTCAGTAAGGTCAGGTGAGGTGAACTCCATTTCTATGTGAACCGTCGGAACGAAGAAGGCAGCTTGCATGGTTACGGATGCGATTAAACCGCGCAATAATTTGTGAGTCCGCACGATCACTCGCCTCTGGATTTAGCAGAGCACCGGGGTGTAAATACAGCGGGAGTGGAGTCAGCAGCAAGAGCGGGCATGATGCACAGCGTCAGACAGCGCCTTAAGGAGCTTAAGACGGGAAAGTAGAAGACGAGGGGTGAGGGAGGAAAACGGTGAGGATAAAGGCAAAGAAGCCCGGCTGGAGGGACTCAAGGAAAGGAAGAGAGGGGAGAGTTAGAGAGCAAAAGGAGAGGAGAGGGGAGTGAGGGGGGGTGTCGGATGCTATGATTTGCCTGTTTCCCAAACAGGAATTAATCCAATAATCACTGGAAAACGTTTTTGCATATTTCTTCATTCTTCTCATATACATATCTATCATCTGGCACGAGTATACGTGACACCTGTCAAGACGGTAGACACACACACACACACACACGCAAAACAAATCCCATTGCTGAGTAGGTGCGCATGGGATGCTACCGAGAGTTAAATCCAGAGTCTTTATCTGCTGCTTATTTCAAATGTCAGCAGCCCTGTTGCAGGCTTTGCCACCATGGCAGCTCAGTGCTGAGTGCGAAAGCACAAACACTTCAAACCCTCGAGAGCCTCAGAGTGAGAGAAAACAAATGCTTCTGAGAACACACACACACAAGAGCTGGAAGGTCACTATGAAGACAACTAGGAAGAGAAGCACGAGAACCAACGGCCCGTTCTTAAGTGGAGGGTACCGAGGATTTTTGGAGAAGTTGCAATGATCTCGTGATTTGAAGTCTGCGGTTAAGTCCAAGTATCTCACTAATTGAACATAAACCATTCAAAAGATAAACTTAATAATAATAAATGGTTGACTGCGATTTTAATTATAGGATAATATAGATAAATTAAACACAACAATATTATTATCAAATAAAATTGGCTTTTAATGCCATTGTATAATAGTAAACTGCCAAGACGGACATTCAAAAGGCCGATATATTTTTCTCTCTTTTTCAGTGACGCTGTAACCCTCAGGTGACACGTCATTGACAGTACTTGTGTTATTTCTCCTGTCCTACGCTTTAGTAGGTCCCTTAATGCTGCTGCTTACGCTGTTAAAAATGATACAATGACGATGACTACAATGAATAAATGCAAATGAACCTCAATGTGGTCTGAACTCTTAAAAATAACCAATCATAAATGATGTGGTGGACCTAGAATGTTGCAAATTCAGGTTCTGTCACACTGTCCACCTTACAGACAGAAGATATAAATCCTTAGCTGAGAGCACACAAGAACCACTTTGGCTCCTTGATGTTGTCTAACCTGCGGTGTGATTCTCCGCTATACCAGAATGTATGTTACCTGGAAGTGGATTCAGTGGCTTTCATGGCGTGAAATCATATATATCTAAAGTGAAATACCTTTAAGCTGCAGTCTTTTCAAATATTTTTAAAAACAATATTACCAAAGCCCTCCAATTATAAGGCACAAATGTCCTTTCTTCTGAGAAAAGAGCTGTGCCTAACAGCTGCGTGGGGATTTCATTCACTTCCCTGCGCTTTCAAGCTGCGGCACATTCCTTGTCAGCGCTGAAACCTGTTAGCATTTTCTCCCCTCCAATATCCAATCTCTCTGCCCAAGGGAAGCTTACCTTCCCCTTGTTGTGTGAGCAAACATTTAGCGTCAGAGTAGCTGCCAGCGTACACAGTAGACAGAGGAAATAGTGTGACGGGTAATCCAGAGGTCAAAGATCAAATGGAGTGAGCCGGGGGCGCACAGCTGAGGGCCATTATTAAGCACAATTGACATGTGGCCCCTTAGGAGAGCTAAAGGGACATTGCAGAACACCATTCAAAACCAACCTATAGTTCACGATGACTGCAAGCACAACCAAGATGGACCATCACTGACTACTTACAAAGACTTACTTACAGAGAAAGAGCAGAATGCACACGGCCACGTTTGACCTACATCTTCTGTGATTAGCACTGACTTCCTCTTCCTCACCTCGCCATGGGTGAGAAGAAGATTATAAAGTTAGCTGCCACTGCCACTGGTGAGCTGAGCTGGAGCTTGAACCGGAGCTGGTCTCCTCCCAGATCTGGGGTTGATTGGGGATTTCAAAGTTCAAAGCCTTGGCTGGGTGAATGATGGAAAGGACCACGGGCAGCCGTGGAGTGGAGAGGAAGGGAGGGTGAGAGCTAGCTAGCTATTTACAGTAAACCCTCCCTTAGTCTGCAGAGAAAGCATTGGCAGAAAAGGGGAGGTGTCAAAAAAATAAAAAGGGTAAACGCCAGTGAAAATAAACCCTGCGCTCCGGTGGGTGCTGAGCAGATGGAATGTTGCACGCAAAACTGACACCGAGCTAACAAGTTTTGGTTGCAGCAATCATAAATAATCCAGAATGTGGAATTGCATTTTCAATGAGTCACAAAATGTGTGTTTTTGTTGTGCACGGCATGTTAACAATGTCTCCGGAAACATTGCCAGCCGTTTCACACAGCTACAATTTTGTAACGTTAAAAAAAAAATCCCAAAAGTGAGACCATTAAAATTCACTCTGCTTGTCAAAAATAACATTGACCAAAAAACACACCAGGGGCAATCAAAGAGTTGCAACATTCTTACACCCTGGGGACACGGACTTTGAGCTATTGTAGTGCGAAATCTGTGACACTACAAGCTTCTGTCGTTCGAGATAAAGGGAGCCTGAAGAGGTGTGTAAATACGGCAAAGACAGACGCACTTGTGCTGAAACGTTTCAGGCCAGCTGATGAGACTGGCTGCTTTAGGCCTTTGAATTAGCTGCAGTTAGTGCCTCGCTCTTTTGTTTTTCACCCTGATTCAGCAGTCCTGCACTTTACGCAGAGCCTCTGAAAGCTCGGCGGCCACAGGGAATGCCAGCTCATCGACTATCAGAATGACGGCCTTCCTTTTGCTCTCCATTTCTCTCTGCCCTGCCTCGCCGGGCAACACCATGCCAATTGTCTCTCTCACTCTTTCTGTTCCCCATCTGCCCTTCTGTCCTTCTTGCTAAACAAAGGCTGGTGTGAGTGTGTATGATGCAATTGTGGCAGTGCTGAAAATACGACATGAATAAACAGTAAGATAAGATTTTGCCATTTGGTAAACTGCAAAAAGAAGATATCGTGCGAAAATGTCGCAAAGTAAAAAAATAAAAACTTCTACAGAAAATCGTCAGTCTTTATCAATCAAATCCTGTTTCAGATGGTGACCTACCTTGGTTCTATGACACAGAAGTCAGTATTATGGGACCAGGGCAAAGAAATGGTGGCCGACATTGTGGCACGCTTCGTAAACTGAAACGGACACTGAGCACTAACCTTGAGCTTATCAAAGCGTTCAGTGAGGGAGGACACCTGGTGGTCCCGGTGGCGCCCCACCAGCTTGCAGAGGGCACAGATGAGCTGGTCGTCCACCAGGCAGTACATGTTGACCTTCTCGTTCTCGTGCTCCAGGCAGGTCAGGCCGCGGATGTGAGTGTCCGGGACGGGCTCCACCAGGCGGTGGCCGGTGAACGGCTTCTTGTTGGGGTGGGTTGCGCGGAGGCAGCGGTCGCAGTACGACACCTCGCACGTGACGCACGTCTTGACGGCCTCGCGCGGCGGATCCTGCTCGCAGAACTGGCAGCTGATGCGCGGATCCATTTTGGCAACCACGGCCGGGCTGTGGTTCGCGTTGGTGTGGTTGGTGTGATTGGTGTGGTTGGTGTGGTTGCCGTGATTGGCGTGATTGGCGTGGTTGGCGTGCGGGTGCGAGTGGCTGGAAGTGGCCGGGCTTCCCCGGGCGCTGCTTCCACTCGTGCCACCGCCGCCGCCGCCGCCGCCAATTGTGCCGGCTATTGTGCCGCTAATGGTGGCGGTGTAGGGCCGCTGCGGCTGCAGCCGCCGGCTCTCGGTGGGGGAATTGGGGCCGCTAAGTGAGGCCTTTTGAAAGCGGTCAATGATGTTCTGCAGCGTCACATTGCGCTTAAGGCCCTCCAGGCCGCGGTGATTCAGCGTGATGACGTAACGGCAAGTGGGGCACTGAAAGGCCGATATGGACTCGAGGGGCTTGCTGGTGGAGCAGTGGGACACCAGGATGCGGTGGGCGCAGTTGAAACACAGGCTGTGGGCACAGGGCAGGAGCAGGGGATCTTCAAACAACTCCAGGCAGATCGGGCAGGTCAGCTCAGACTCCAGTGTTTCCATCTTCAGTTGAACCAATCTAGAGGTGACATCCAAACCCACGGAAGCTGGCAGATCACCTGCACGAAGAAGAAAGACAAACATATGAGAATTGACTACTACGCCTTACATAGCCCTGGATGTTTTTTCATTGAATGTGACAGGAAGGAGTCACCCATTTCTGATTCTAACAGAGTAATGTTATAGTGCCTTCAGGAAAGACGGAGCGGACTATGCAAATTCAGCAGAACCATCCCCAACACGTGATGTTTTACTATTATCCATCAGCTGCACAGTTTGCAGAGCTGCGGACTGGGCTTACATGTTAAGGGCTTTACCACATGATGCCTCCTGCATAGCTGGAGCAGAAGAAGAGGAATGGCTTCACGACCAGTGAGGATGAGCATTAAATTAATTGCAGGGTAGAAGAACAAATAAATGGAGCGAAGACGAGTGGAAGACAAAGAGCACATTTCATCGACATCTGCCTTTCTTCAGCTCATGCTTGACTTTGCCTGTTTTTCGCGGCTTTCATGGTAAGATCAGCTTGACTCATCCAGACAAATAACCACCACAAGGACAGTTAAGCCTTTCGAGCACGGCCCCAACAACAATTTCAAGTGGGCCTGTGGAAACCAGGCCTGAGCTACACACAAAGATTGATTTCAGATCCTCCTCCTTTCTCCAAGCCCTCCAGGTCTTAGCACCTTGTAGCCTATGAAGGCTACAACATATCAAGCTGTCTCCTTCGGGTGGCCTTAAAACCACTGACATGAGAAATCACCAGCAACCCCCACACTCAATGTATCAGTTGTGCAGCAGCGCAGCTCGCAATTCTTTTAGAGAAACAAAGTACGGCATCAAAGTGAACAGCCGCAGATCGCGGACGGTGACAGTTTAATTGGTGGAAGTCTGGAGGTGACAGATGCCCTCGTCTCTCTCTGCGCTAGTTATACAGGATTCGCCGCTGAATGGGTTTTATTGGTGGTGACCAGTCAAGATCACCTTCAGGACAGGGTTTAAACTTTGGTGAGTGACCTCTGACTTACGGTCATTATGTACGCGACTATGGTCAGACACAAATAGAGTAACTCACAGATGCAGAGGACAGGATAGTCCAAAGACACAATTTCATATTAAAGAAGTGAAAGACTGTGTGAGCTTGGGTGCCACGATCGAAGTACCATTCATTCAGCTGCCTGGTTTTCCACTGATGACTTAAAATCAAGATATCAAACATAAAAAACAGTCCCAATATTTTGCCCCTGAGCGATGGTCCAAAAGCTAGATTCTGAAATGAGTCCCTCAAATGAAGATGAAACATGAAAATAATAAAAATAATAAATAATTCTGCTTGAAAAATTGAAACAATTTATTAACGTCAAAATATTCCAATCAATTTCCCTAAAGACAGGCGGCCTTAATCAGTGAGACAAATACATTTACAACTTGTGTCGAATCATCATGCTGTCGCGTGGCTCTGTCCTCTTATTGACTATTAACTACCCATATTCAGACATATCGAGTGAGCTCTGCCACGCACAGCCCATTTGTAATAACTGCGTTGGGATACCTTCCACACGTGGCGGGGTGAATTCAGACGCATGGAGAACTACACAACTCCCAATTATCCCAGAGACCAACAAAGTATGAGCTGAAGAGACAGGAGGACAGAAAGGCAGCTCAAAAGACAGTAACAAAAGTCTTCTGCTGCCCCAGAAACCACACGCCTCGACCCCACCGAGCTGTGTTCAAAGCAAACACGATTTGAGCAGCAGCTAAGTGCTCGGAACGGCACTCGACTGAGAGGAGTAGCTCGCTGCACGCAGCGCCGTCGTTACAAAGTTCATTATCTGCAGAGGAAACAAATAACTTGTGGAATCCATCGTGCGGATATTGCGCGGGTGGAAACGCGCTGTGTCATGCTTGTGAGGCTGTACGTGTGCGCGTACATTTGGGGCGTTTGTGTGGTTGTTATCGCACAGCCCGGCTCCAGAGGTGAAGAGAGATCAGAGGCGAGCAACCAGGGAACAAACGAGCACGAGGTTCAGCTTCATCACGGCAACAATAGGGCTGATTTATCTCCACCGTATCTGATAGTTGATAACCTGGAGCAGACGAATGGAAATAACCCAACAGGATTCAGGGGGAGGTGATGAGGTCAGGAAAAGACCACCTTGATGACGAGCCCCTCTACCTGGGACTCAAAGGCCAGGTACAGTATGATATCTGGTCTTGTACACTTTTTTACAAACCGCTTTACACTTTTTTTTATCACTAGTAGGTTTCTACTTTTCTTTCTCATTTAATCTGCATTTTTTGCTGGATAATTTGCTTTTCACGTGGCGAGGATTCCAGTTCATTCAGCCACACCAAATATTTTAAAGCTTTTAATAATTGTAGCAATAAGAGTCCGTAATATCAACCATTTAAAGTGAGTGCGATCCATATTTTCACCAAGAAAGAAGTTCTCTGTGACCAACGCGCCAGCTCCTCATGACTGCAGGGTCAGTGGAACCTGTCAACAACAGGAAACAAGGCCCACATTCATTAAGGCTCACAGGATACACATTGATTCAAGATCATCAGGTCATCGTACCACGCGAGATCGCCTCTTGAATCGGGTGGAGCTGATGCAACAAAGACCGACAGCTTTTCATCACAGTGCAATAAACCATCACCAAGACACAATTCATGTCAATCACTGCTTGATTGTTATTGCACTTCAGCCGCTTTTCTTCTTATCCTGCCTCTCTCTGCTCATCAGCGTTGGATGTCGAAAACAAAAGGAGCTCACACAAATCCCTCCGATCCCAGCATGCTCACGGAAATAAACCATATTATCATCACAGCAAATATGCCGTCAAGAACGCCTAATCACAGCCAGAGAACATTCAAGTTCATAGACAGAGACGGAACCGGAGCACAAACCCTCAATTATTAAGCTCATCTCATCATTGAGGGATGAGTGCATGACCCTTATCCTGGATTAGTACCCTGAATCAGTCTCCCTTTGTTCCCCAGGACGGAGCCTCCTGTGCAGATGTTGATGTGACTGTGTTTAACGAACCTCGGTGTTATAATTAACACACAGCTTTAACACACCATCACCAGGCCCATTAAACTTGAGCTGTGTCCCTCCGGGGGAGACAATGCCGGCGGAGCCACTTGGGGACTGAAACGGCAGTTTCATGGTGAAGGCACTTCTTCTGCTGACAGGCTCACACGGATACACACAGAGACATTCACAAAACACACACACGCGCACACACTCGCGCGCGAGCCCAAAATGTACAAGTACAGCATCGCTCTGTCTCGTTGTTCCTCTTACTCTGCCATTCGTGTCGCGGTGAAGTGTCTCATCTGGAAGGAGAACAGCTTGTGCTGGTGCTTAAGGAAAGACACACAGGTGGACACAAACCAAAGCACGCTCTCTCTCACGCACACAGACAGACAAAGCTGCGAGGCACTCCCTCTGATCTATTGTTGTGCTGATTAATGTAGATTCGTCTAATTCAAAGGGTTTTTTTTTCAAAAGGATTAAAAACAACATCTCAACATTAGTGTGTCTGAAGAGGCAGGGTCAGACAAATAATTGTCCTTATCGCGTAACAGACTGTGAATTCTAATCGGCGAATGCTTTATACTTTGCTTCTGACATCCTTTGAACAGGTGCAAGTCCACATGCACACACAAAAGACCCTATTCGGCCAACGGCTTTGATGAATTCATTCATTCGAGTCCGACACACCAGAAGCAGGACACCGATCGCGGCTTGTCTCATGCTATAGGCTGATCCGAATCCCAGTGTGTTTGGTTCGCCGATGATGGGGAATTGTGTGAGCTCACTGTAGTACAGCGCCGCCTACAATCAGGCATGTGATGCCTGTTCGCGTCTCGAGCACAGTGGCCATCAAGCGGCTACCTTGCAATCGTGGAAAGCAACATTATAAAGGCCATGAAGGGGGCTGACAAACTGCTGCCCAATGCAGGATGACTGCATTTGTATCAAAAGTGTGTGCGTGTGTGTGCGCGTGTCAGAGAAGTGTTTTTATAGTTTAATTATTTGTAGCAGCAGCAACGAGTTCTTCCACCAGTTTATGAGACATGACCTTGAAGAACGACCCAAAATAGAAAACACTGATGTCACGCTTTGAATCATTTTGTAATCCTGCCAACATCAACACAATAAAAGACGCAGCTCATTTAAAAGCAGTCCTCTGGGTGCACGCCTGCATTAGTGTGAATTTACTTTGTTGACGCATGAATCTGTTTAGAGAAAAGGCATCTGTGGAACAAAGATGATTATCCTTGTATAAACAATCCACTCGTAAAAAGCAGATTGCTCCCCCCTGGATTGCAGGCTACACAACCAAAAAACAGGAGCTTAAAGGACACTTGATGATGTTGAAGGGCCCAGTTGAATGAGAGTGCCACACATAGACCTCTGGACCAAAGACACAATTGCTCTCCCACTTTGGCAGTTTATTTTAATTTGAAGCATTGTTAAATGACCCTATTTGCACCCACACAATTTTTTACATTCTTAAAATATCCCGCGTTCCATGCATTCGATTCTTCTAAATCTAACCTACAGACACAACTTTTCGCATTGGCATTCAGAACAACCATTAAACCAACTGGCATGTGTTTGGACTGTGGCAGGAAGACGAAGAACACGCACACGGGTCGAACATCCAAACTCCACACGGAGGAGGACTTTTAACTTCAAAAGATACAAAAGGACGTGCTGAGGTGCAACCAGAGTCAGATGTGAGACACGTTTCAAAGAGACCGCGGGTAGAAACCAGAATAAAAGATTGTTTCCAGGAAAGGTCAGCAATGTGGATCCTAATGGCATGAACGAAAAAGTCTGTTCAAGCACGTATGTCCATGAACCTGAACACACACACACAGCCCCATGAGCGGCAACTGACTCAACCTCAAATACTGTTTGACTCCACAGCAAATTGACAGTTTTTGTTATCAGATTGACAGTGTGTGTGTGTACAACCTGTAATCCAACCCCAGAGCCTCACCCAATCCCTCCATCAATACACGCACTGCGCTCCGCTCCCCG